AATAGAATGTTTTCCTGGAAAATGAAAAAATTCCTTACCAATTTAAATAAACTTAATCAGCATGTCTGTATGTTTTTTTACCTTGAAACAACACAAAATACCTTAAAAAAACCTACCAATTGAACCTAAATTGCAGTAGACTAAGAATCATCAATTTTATTTCATTTTTTTGAATAGAATGTTTTCCTGGAAAATGAAAAAATTCCTTACCAATTTAAATAAACTTAATCAGCATGTCTGTATGTTTTTTTTACCTTGAAACAACACAAAATACCTTAAAAAAACCTACCAATTGAACCTAAATTGCAGTAGACTAAGAATCATCAATTTTATTCCATTTTTTTGAATAGAATGTTTTCCTGGAAAATGAAAAAATTCCTTATCAATTCAAATAAAATTAATCAGCATGTCTGTATGTTTTTTTTACCTTGAAGCGACAAAAAAAACCTTAAAAAAAACCTACCAATTGAACCTAAATTGCAGTAGAATCAATTTTATTCCATTTTTTTGAATAGAATGTTTTCCTGGAAAATGAAAAAATTCCTTACCAATTTAAATAAAATTAATCAGCATGTCTCTACGTTTTGTTTACCTTGAAACAACACAAAATACCTTAAAAAAACCTACCAATTGAACCTAAATTGCAGTAGACTAAGAATCATCAATTTTATTCCATTTTTTTGAATAGAATGTTTTCCTGGAAAATGAAAAAATTCCTTACCAATTCAAATAAAATTAATCAGCATGTCTCTATGTTTTTTTTACCTTGAAACAACTTAAAATACCTATAAAAAAACCTACCAATTGAACCTAAATTGCAGCAGACTAAGAATCATCAATTTTATTCCATTTTTTTGAATAGAATGTTTTCCTGGAAAATGAAAAAATTCCTTACCAATTTGAATAAACTTAATCAGCATGTCTGTATGTTTTTTTTACCTTGAAACAACACAAAATACCTTAAAGAAACCTATTAATTGAACCTAAATTGCAGCAGACTAAGAATCATCAATTTTATTCCATTTTTTTGAATAGAATGTTTTCCTGGAAAATGAAAAAATTCCTTACCAATTTAAATAAAATTAATCAGCATGTCTCTATGTTTTGTTTACCTTGAAACAACACAAAATACCTTCAAAAAAATCTACCAATTGAACCTAAATTGCAGTAGACTAAGAATCATCAATTTTATTCCATTTTTTTGAATAGAATGTTTTCCTGGAAAATGAAAAAATTCCTTATCAATTCAAATAAAATTAATCAGCATGTCTGTATGTTTTTTTTACCTTGAAACAACACAAAAAACCTTAAAAAACCTACCAATTGAACCTAAATTGCAGTAGAATCAATTTTATTCCATTTTTTTGAATAGAATGTTTTCCTGGAAAATGAAAAAATTCCTTACCAATTTAAATAAAATTAATCAGCATGTCTCTACGTTTTGTTTACCTTGAAACAACACAAAATACCTTCAAAAAAACCTACTAATTGAACCTAAATTGCAGTAGACTAAGAATCATCAATTTTATTCCATTTTTTTGAATAGACTGTTTTCCTGGAAAATGAAACAATTCCTTACCAATTTAAATAAAATTAATCAGCATGTCTCTATGTTTTTTTTACCTTGAAACAACACAAAAAACCTTAAAAAACCTACCAATTGAACCTAAATTGCAGTAGAATCAATTTTATTCCATTTTTTTGAATAGAATGTTTTCCTGGAAAATGAAAAAATTCCTTACCAATTTAAATAAAATTATTCAGCATGTCTCTACGTTTTGTTTACCTTGAAACAACACAAAATACCTTAACGAAACCTATTAATTGAACCTAAACTGCAGTAGACTAAGAATCATCAATTTTATTCCATTTTTTTGAATAGACTGTTTTCCTGGAAAATGAAAAAATTCCTTACCAATTTAAATAAACTTAATCAGCATGTCTGTATGTTTTTTTACCTTGAAACAACACAAAATACCTTAAAAAAACCTACGAATTGAACCTAAATTGCAGTAGACTAAGAATCATCAATTTTATTCCATTTTTTTGAATAGAATGTTTTCCTGGAAAATGAAAAAATTCCTTACCAATTTAAATAAACTTAATCAGCATGTCTGTATGTTTTTTTACCTTGAAACAACACAAAATACCTTAAAAAAACCTACCAATTGAACCTAAATTGCAGTAGACTAAGAATCATCAATTTTATTTCATTTTTTTGAATAGAATGTTTTCCTGGAAAATGAAAAAATTCCTTACCAATTTAAATAAACTTAATCAGCATGTCTGTATGTTTTTTTTACCTTGAAACAACACAAAATACCTTAAAAAAACCTACCAATTGAACCTAAATTGCAGTAGACTAAGAATCATCAATTTTATTCCATTTTTTTGAATAGAATGTTTTCCTGGAAAATGAAAAAATTCCTTATCAATTCAAATAAAATTAATCAGCATGTCTGTATGTTTTTTTTACCTTGAAGCGACAAAAAAAACCTTAAAAAAAACCTACCAATTGAACCTAAATTGCAGTAGAATCAATTTTATTCCATTTTTTTGAATAGAATGTTTTCCTGGAAAATGAAAAAATTCCTTACCAATTTAAATAAAATTAATCAGCATGTCTCTACGTTTTGTTTACCTTGAAACAACACAAAATACCTTAAAAAAACCTACCAATTGAACCTAAATTGCAGTAGACTAAGAATCATCAATTTTATTCCATTTTTTTGAATAGAATGTTTTCCTGGAAAATGAAAAAATTCCTTACCAATTCAAATAAAATTAATCAGCATGTCTCTATGTTTTTTTTACCTTGAAACAACTTAAAATACCTACAAAAAAACCTACCAATTGAACCTAAATTGCAGCAGACTAAGAATCATCAATTTTATTCCATTTTTTTGAATAGAATGTTTTCCTGGAAAATGAAAAAATTCCTTACCAATTTAAATAAACTTAATCAGCATGTCTGTATGTTTTTTTTACCTTGAAACAACACAAAATACCTTAAAGAAACCTATTAATTGAACCTAAATTGCAGCAGACTAAGAATCATCAATTTTATTCCATTTTTTTGAATAGAATGTTTTCCTGGAAAATGAAAAAATTCCTTACCAATTTAAATAAAATTAATCAGCATGTCTCTATGTTTTGTTTACCTTGAAACAACACAAAATACCTTAAAAAAACCTACCAATTGAACCTAAATTGCAGTAGACTAAGAATCATCAATTTTATTCCATTTTTTTGAATAGAATGTTTTCCTGGAAAATGAAAAAATTCCTTACCAATTTAAATAAACTTAATCAGCATGTCTGTATGTTTTTTTTACCTTGAAACAACACAAAATACCTTAAAAAAACCTACCAATTGAACCTAAATTGCAGTAGACTAAGAATCATCAATTTTATTCCATTTTTTTGAATAGAATGTTTTCCTGGAAAATGAAAAAATTCCTTATCAATTCAAATAAAATTAATCAGCATGTCTGTATGTTTTTTTTACCTTGAAGCGACAAAAAAAACCTTAAAAAAAACCTACCAATTGAACCTAAATTGCAGTAGAATTAATTTTATTCCATTTTTTTGAATAGAATGTTTTCCTGGAAAATGAAAAAATTCCTTACCAATTTAAATAAAATTAATCAGCATGTCTCTACGTTTTGTTTACCTTGAAACAACACAAAATACCTTAAAAAAACCTACCAATTGAACCTAAATTGCAGTAGACTAAGAATCATCAATTTTATTCCATTTTTTTGAATAGAATGTTTTCCTGGAAAATGAAAAAATTCCTTACCAATTCAAATAAAATTAATCAGCATGTCTCTATGTTTTGTTTACCTTGAAACAACACAAAATACCTTAAAAAAACCTACCAATTGAACCTAAATTGCAGTAGACTAAGAATCATCAATTTTATTCCATTTTTTTGAATAGACTGTTTTCCTGGAAAATGAAAAAATTCCTTACCAATTTAAATAAACTTAATCAGCATGTCTGTATGTTTTTTTTACCTTGAAACAACACAAAATACCTTAAAGAAACCTATTAATTGAACCTAAATTGCAGCAGACTAAGAATCATCAATTTTATTCCATTTTTTTGAATAGAATGTTTTCCTGGAAAATGAAAAAATTCCTTACCAATTCAAATAAAATTAATCAGCATGTCTCTATGTTTTTTTTACCTTGAAACATCACTTATTTATTTAAAAAATTGAAGAATAATCTGCTTTTCAGTTATTGTTTTTAACAATTGTAATACTGCCTAAAAATTCGCGATATTTTGTTGAACTACGAGTTAAACTAGTGTTCTAATTATACAAAGAGTAAAACTGTAAGTATATCTAAAAACGGTACTAAAACGGAAAATGTACTTTAAACTACGAAAATTCGCAATATACCCCATGTCAATAAAATGTTACCGACTGTAACTATGAGGGTCCAAAAATGTACAGCAAAATCTAGTCAACAATTTTTTTTAAATCTGGTATATATAAAGGTTTTTAGGGTCGCTAAATTTGAAAAGAACCTTAAAATTCAAAAATTTAAAATGGCGGACATAATTTTTTATCATGTACAGATTCTTATGAAACTTGGCATAGGAAAGTTTTTGTGGTAGCTGAATTTGAATTTTGATTTTAAAATTAAAAAATTAAAAATATCTGATCCAAAGTGACAATATTTATATCAAAAATTTAAAGTTTACGAATAGAACTATAAATAGACTCCCAAGAAGACAAAGCTGCATAATTGATAGTTCCAACAATGGGTCAATAGAAGGACTATTCGATACTGTAATCACCATAGCCTCCGAGTCTTATCAGAGTTTATAACAAGTTCATTATCTTTCTCCTGGTGTACAATGTAATCAATTAATAAATACATTGCAATAAATTGTGTCAAAATTTATTAACCACACAAAGTAGTTGAAAAAAAAACTATAATCATTTCTTGAAAAGATAAAAAAGAAAAAATTTATAGTCAAATGATATATCAATAATTAAAAAAAATAAAACCGGTTAAATACTACAAAAACATGTGTTAGCTACTAAATACATTTAGTTACAAAATTCGAAATGAACTTAACGTCAATGTTGAAAGTACTTTTTATACTTTTTACTTTCATTGTTGTTTTAAATGTGAGTTTCATTCATTTATTACTCGAAAAAAAATCGATTTTAGACTATTTAAATACAATAATAACAAGTTTTAATTAAATACAATTTTGATGTATTTTTAATTATTTTTCTTTTATAATTGATACATTTTAATTATATTTTTTTACAATTTGCGATTTTAAAAAACCAGAAAGTGATATTTTTACAAGAAAAATAATAAAATAAAAAAAAATAAAAAATTAATTGATTTTCCATTTTAGGCATCTGTATTTCGAAAAGGTACTATTACTTCAGGAAATATAATTCAAGGACAATATGCCAATGGTGTCATTGTAAAAAACAATAATGATCGTCAAGAAATTTTGTGGCAAGAAAGACAAGATAATTGGAAGGTAAGTGCACTGAAAAAAAAATTTATTTAATTCAAATAATCGGTTACTTGTCTATTATATATCAGATAAATATTTATTTGTGTCAATTAAATCGTATTTATTTTAAATACAGAAATTATTGATTCAAATATAGTTTATTTATTTTAAAAATTATTTGGTTCAATTAAATATTTATTTCATAATAGTTAAATAACTAATTTTGAATTAAACACATTTTTTTTCACTGTAATAAATTTAATTTTTTTTAAAGGTTTATTTCTCAAAAATTTATGAAGAGTCAGGATTAGTGGAAAATTATATATTTGATAATATTTGTGATAAACAATCAAGAGGATCAATAAAAGAGTCAATTAAGCGTTTTGTTCTAAACAAACTTGGAAAAGCTAATAGATGTCCAATAAGAAAGGCAAGAGATTATAAAAAAAAAATATTTTAATGCAATTAAAATCATAAATTTATGTTTAAAAAAATTTGAAATTCTAAAAATTATTTTTTTATTTATAGGGTACAGTAAAAATTACCTATCCAATGATATTCACGTTCGAAACAACAAAAGGCGATCGTTGTGGACCATTTATAACAATGATTCATATTGTTGAAAATAATCAAAATTATTCTAATAAAACTCCATTGCTTCTCACTTGTATATTTAGAGGATTTACAATCGGTGATGATTGTTGAAAGTATAAAATATTCAAGGCAATGTGAGTAATAAAATAATTTTAGAATAAAATAAATTCATTAATTTATTATTTGTTAATTTCATTTATTAATTTTATTTATTAATTTTGTTTTTTTAAATTATATTTCTTAATTTTATTTATTAGATAAATTAATAATAATTTTAAAACATCAAAAAATTGATTTAATTTATAAACCATTCTTCCTAAATTCTAGATATCAGTACAATTTTAATAGTCAAGAAGAAATTTTAAGTAAAAAAATCTGAAAGTCATTGTGGCTGTGAGGTCAGAGTATTTGGCTTGCGCCCCACGGGTCCGGGGTTCGATACCCCATGATTGCAAGATTTTTCAAAACTATTTTTAAGTTTTTCAAATACTATTTTTACTCAAAATATTGTATCTAATAAATAATTAAATAATAATAATTTAAAAAAATATAAACAAATAATAATTATAAACTGTGAATTATTAAAAAAAAAATCACATGAAATAGGACAATTTAAAATGAAACAGAATTCTTTGATTATTTAAAACAAAATTTTCTTTGATTCAAATCAATATTTATTAAAAATAAAAAAAAATAAAAAAAACCTTTTTCTCGACACACGAACATTTTTTACAAAATCAACCAAAACGAGGCGCATGCATATCTTATAAAAATCATTATCTAGAATTTTCATTTAATAGAATTTCTTTTTAAACGAATCTTCATTTTTCAAATTAACATTTTTGTTTCTTTTTTTGTAAACGAAATTTTATTTAAACATAATTTTTAGGTACCGAATTTTGTATAACAGATGCGACTTTGTGCTCGTTGCATGCTTCGGCCATCTAACGGCGGTAGGACGTAATGAAGCTGTCATTATATTACTTTCCTACTTTTCGTTTTGCAATCGCGTTTTTGTATAGAGTCGTCCCTTCAAATTTTCTTTACGAATACATTTTTAATACTACAAAAAAAATATAGTTGAAAAAATAATATTTTTTCATATAAAGAAATAAAGAAAATATGATATAAAACTGTAAATTTTATCTACAATAATAAATTAACTAAAAAGAACCGGTTGGTTGTTATATAAAACTATCCAGTTAGCTGTTTAATATATTTAGTTAGAAAATTGAAATGAATTTTACGACAATGTTAAAATTACTTTTTACACTTTTCGCCTACATTACTGTTTTAAATGTAAGTTTCCTTTAATATTACCTGAAAAAAATTGATCCATATGAGAAAAATCGTGTTTGATGAAAAACAATCGTTTATTTATTTTTTTTTTTTACATTAGGCTGGCTCAATTCGAAAAGTCACTTTTACTTCAGGAAATATAACTCAAGGAAAAAATGCCACTGGCGTAAGTGTAAAAACTAATAATGGTCATCAAGAAATTGTGTGGCTGGAAAATCAAAATAATTTAAAAGTAAGCAGGACAAACATTTTCTTTCTTTCTTCAAAGTAATATAAAACAAAAAATTAACAAAAAAAAATATACGAACAAAGTAAGGATAAAGAAAAAATTGGGACTGAACATATTTGTTAGATTTTCATGTAATAATATTAAACTTTTCCTAAAAAAAAAATTTTATTTTTTAAAACTACCTAAATCAAAAAACTGAAACAAAAAAAAGTTTTGTAATTTAGTTTTCTAAAGGTATTTATTTTTATAAGAAACATGTGAATATATATACCTAGCAAAAAATATAATTATATAAAAAAAATATATATATATATATAGTAATTATAATTTTCAATTATATCAAAATCTACTGTAATTTTTGTTAGGTTCATTTTTCAAAAATTTACGAAGACACTGGCCTAATGAAAAATGCTCTAGTGACTAATTTATGTGAAAAACAAAATAAAGGTTCCTTAGAAAATGCCATTAAGCGTTATGTTCTAAACAATCTTGGCAAAACTAGTAAATGTCCAATAAAAAAGGCAAGATATTAAAAAAAAAAAAAATATTAAATTATGCAAATCTTAGCAATGCACAAAGATTCTGGGTTTTAAAGGAAATATGAAATTGCAAAAAAAAATTTTGTTATTTTTAGGGTACAGTTAAAATTATCTATCCGATAACTTATACATTCGAAACCACAAAAGCTGAACGTTGTGGACCATTTATTTCAACTCTTCATGTTATGAAAAATAATCAAGAAGATTCTAATGAGACTCCTTTGCTTGTTAGAGCAATGTTTAGGGGAACTTTAACTGGCAATGATTGTTAAACGGATAATGTTAAGAGTCTGAATGATTCTGCCATCTAACGGCGGTAGGGCGTAATGAAGGAGTTATTAATATCAATTTCCTACTTTTCGATTTGCAATTGCGTTTTTGTATGGATTCCCACAATCTTTCGGATTTAGAAAATTATACTTGGTGTTTTGGCCGATTTTGTAAAAAAAATTGCCGTGTTTCGAGAAATACGATGATTCTAAAAGCACAGTATTTTTTCATTAAAAATTTTTTCGATATTTAAAAATTTTTTTTATCACTATATTTAATACGTCTAAGAAACCAATGAAATATCTTTTAAGAACGTAATTATGATAAGACATAAACTTGACATACTTTAATATTTCCTTTTAAAAAAGTGTATTTCTTAAAAATAAAATGTTAAATAAAAATTATTGAAATTAAAATTTATTTTTTATCTAGTGCATTTTACTATAACCGTAAAATGTGTATTATAATATTTAAAATGGATAGTTATTAATGTTATGAAAGCTTTTTTATCAAACGTAGAATGTCAAAAAAAAAAAATAAATAAAAGTGTTTAAGAAAAATTTGTATTTTAATTTATGAAAAATATTTTGAATATCTGTTATATCTTATTCCTATATCAATATAGATTAATTGAAATAAATTTATACAAAGTATCATTAATAATTATTATTATTCATGTTTAGCTTACATTGTATTTCGTTAAAATTTTCAGACATAAATGTACTATGCTTAGCTCCGTAATATTTTTTATTTGCAACAATAACGGGTTATGATAAAAAAAAGAAATAAATTCTAGCCAATTTATTTACCTTAATTACATTCTTAAAAAATATAAAACTATTTTGTTTATTATAAACAAGTCGATAAGAATCCAGACATTAAGATTACTTTGCCACTAAATATGCGAAATTTTTTTTTTTATATCAAAAGACTAGTTTAAAAATTATTTATTTTATTACAACAGTTAGCAAACAAAAATGTTGAAATTAATATGTTTTTTTATGATTTTTGCAATTGCTACAAATGTAAGTATCATAAAGTTTTTACAGTCAATATTTACCAAAAAAAAAAAAGTTAAAATAAATGTTAATTATAAAAATGATTAAAAAATTTCATATATTTTATTATTACACAGTGGGAAATTTACCATTGGCAAAAGAGTGGCCCAATATTGGCAGCAATGGCCTAATATTGGACCATCATTGGTCTTATAATGGCCCAATGGTTGCCATTGGCAATTTCTCACTCGTTATTTATTTAAATATTTTTCGCTAAAATTATTAGATGTATGTTTGAAAACCAAAATTTGAAAAATTATTTAGAAATATTTTTTACATGATATTTTTTTTTATAACTTTCTTATAATTTTTATATACAAAAAATGAACTTTAATTTTAGGTAGTAAATGCCTTATTTTTCACAAAACAAAAACCTTTAGTTAATCGAACCATTATTGTTTATTCTGGCGATTTTGAAATGAATAATATTACAACAGGTTTAAAATTATCAAAAGAGGATAATAATCTGAAATTTTTATGGACGGAAGAATTCAACAATTATAATAATTCTTTTAAGGTTAGTAAATTTTAATTACAAAGATTTATAAAAAACAAAAATTTTTTTTCTCTTGCGTACCAGACTAATTATTTATTACGTATTTTGGGGTCATTAAATCCAAATCCAAAGTCAGAATTCCAAAATTGGTTCGTTTTTATTTTCTAACCTCAAAAAATATACATATTTTTATATATATTTTGATGTGTAATAAAAAAACTCAATCTAATTATGAAATTCTTACTGTATATTAAAATTAAAAAATTTTAATTACATTTTTCAAATATCCGCCATTTTGGATCCGCCATATTGGATACACACCATTTTTGATTTGGAAATTATATTTAATTATTACATAATTTAAACTTCTGAATCTGAATTTACAATAAGAACTACAAAATGAGCTCCAATTTTTGCTTTAAACCGCAAATTTTAAACAAAAAAAAAATTATATTTTTTGAGGTTAAAAAAAATAATAAACCAATTTATTTTTGATTTTAATTTAAAAATAAAATGTAAATTTATTATTTAATTTAAAACAAACTCAACTTAAGATTTTATATAAACAATATTGTTTTGCAGGTTTACGTAAATTATTTCTTTGCAAATTCTGGAATACGTGAAATTATAACTATTCCCAATGCGTGTGGTACTTATAGAACTGACACTATACAACACTTTCTTCAAATTTTGGTTTTAAAAGGATTTGCTGATACTTTCACGTGTCCAATTAAAAAGGTAATGTCACAAAAAAATTAATTGTTAAAAAATAAAAAAAAAAAGTTCAATGAATCATACGAAAAAAAGTTTTTATCATTTTTAAAAGGTTTATTTCTTTCACTCTATATTTGTTTAATAAGAAAAATTATTTTTTTGATATAAAAAAAATTACAATTGAATGAAATGTAGGTTTTCTTTGAATTAAAGAAATTTTGTTTACATCCAAAAAAAAAAAAATTTCTTTAAATTAATAAAAATTATAGTACATTAATATAAGATTAAATAAAACATTTCTTTCATTGGAAACAAAGATTTTAAAAAAAAATTGTATTCAATATTTTTTTATATCAAAGGAATAATTCTTCTGAATTAAACAGTTGCAGTGATAGAAAATATTTCTTTAAAATAACAAAAAAAAAATTTGTTGGATACTCTTTTAAAATTTAAGGTACTAATTTAAAAATGTCATAAATTATATATTAAATGTAAAATATATAATTTCCACAGGGAGCAACGGGCAATTTTCAAATGCCATTAGTTTATTCATACATGACAAGAAATCCAGCATGTGGACCTACTTACGCAATGTATAATGTATTTAAATTAAATCCAAAAAAGCCTAAAATTACTCCAGTACTTTTTGTTGCTACATTTACAGCACATATATCTGGTCCTAATTGTTATCCTAAAGCACAATATAATAATTTTATTTAATTATTATATTTTATTGAATTATTAAAATTTATTTAATTATCATTATTTATTTAATTATTATAATTTATTTCTATCTAAACTTTATAATTTATAACGATTAAATATATTAACAATAATATAATTTCATATACAGTATTAATAACCCTGCCCTAATTTTTTTTTTTTTAATAAATTAAAAATAAATAAATTTTCAAATTATCTGCAACAATGAAGGATTTTGACCTAAAAAATAAAATATTCATCCAATTTACTATTTTAAATACATTTTAAAAAATTATACAAGGGTAATTTTCTTGCACAAATCACTCAAAAAAATTCATGGTAAATTTAACTAAATTTTAACTATTTTTTTTTTTTTTAATTTTTATTAATTTAGTTAACCTTAAAACATTTAATTAATGTCCATGTTTAATAAGAGTTTGTCCATGTTTATTAACCTCCATGTTGAGGTTATAATATTTAATTCTGATATACCTAACAGAGAAAAATCCTAAAACGCTGGGGATTGAACGCACGACCCTAACATTCGCAAGCCGACAACTTAACCAACTAACCACGCACGCACGCTAGGATGGCTTGCATGATACTTAAGAACGATCTTGTTACTATGCAGTTAATTTTACTATCCAATGCAGTCAAATTTACTACTTTTAATAGTTATTATCTTCTTTTAATTAATACGTCTCAAACTTTACATAAAAACTTTTTTAACTGCTAAAAATAGTAATATTTACTATACAAAATAACAGTTAATTTCACAACAAAAATTATATGTTAGACTTAAACGACAGTCTTCAGTTGTTTTTCTGCAACTATGAAAAATTGGTTTTTTCAACTACATAAATCATAAAAATTACTATTTTTAACAATTGTTAAGTGAAATTGACTACTAAAATTTAGTACCACCAACTGTCTAAGTTTAGTTAAAATGGTTCTGAATATGGTACTTTTAACTGCTTTTTTTTAACTACACATTTTTAGTCATTTTTACCAATGTCATTTTTTTGTGTGAAAACGATGAGCGATAAAGAATTTGGACATTAAGTTTATTTTCACACAAAGACTACGAAAAACAAAAAAAAAAAACATTTTTCTTTTTTCCATCAAAAGACCAGTCAAAAAATTTAAATATTTCATCACAACAAAATGTTCATATTCATATGTTTTTTTGTGTTTTTCACTGTCGATACATTATAACTTCATGACTAAAAATCCTGCATATAGTAAAACATAATCATTAGCATTAATTTTTTATTATTTATTATTATATTAATATTATTTATTAATAAAAATAAATTTTAAAAACCAGCTTTTTAAAAATGAAAAAAAAAATTTCCTTAATAAAATAATTTAAAAAAATTTTTAAAGTTTTACATTTTATAATTTATTTATCTTTAACTGACCAAATGTAATGGCAAAAAAAAGTACATACCATTTATAATGAGTGATGGACCGAAAAGCGACAGCTGAAAAAAATTAAAGTATCATTAAGTATTTTAAGAGTTTTGGAACCTCGAAAGCTGAATATGTAGTCCAAATCAAAAAATTCAAAATGTCGACCTTTACAAAAACAACCGAATTAACGATTTTCAAACAGATTTATTAAAATTAAATTTCACTTTTTTTGTGAATATTTTTAAAACGTCATTTTGAATTCTTCAAATTGGATTTTTTTAGCAAAATTTTACAAAATCATATAAAATAATTTTGAAAAAATAGATTTATTGTATATATACGTATATTGAAATAATTAAGATAAAATAACGTAAACTTTTTAACAATATCTTTAGAGTAATTAAAACGTGGTCAGTTAATGTTACTTTACAAAAACAAGTCAGTAAAAAATTTATTTTACATTGATAAGAAATATTTAGAGTATATTATATAAGTTTCTGCGAAAAATAAATGTTTTTTAAAAAAAACCTTGAATTCTAACTAAGCAACTTGAAAATATGTTCAAATTTATTTATCTACTTTTTGCACTCGTTGCTGCTGCAAATGTGAGTTTTTTAAAAATTTTAATCTTCCATTATTATCAGTATTATTATATATTAATAATAATGATGATTATTTTTCTATTTTAATGAAGATTTTATAGGGTCATTTGGGGTAAATGTAAACGGATTTACTTAGTTTCGACAATAATGTAAGTTTTTTATTTTAAAAAGCAATACTTCCGGTTTTCTACTGCATGAACTTGTTACTTCACTTCCCTAGAAACATTTTATGAGGTACAAAAAAATATTGATCAACTTGAATCGCTTAAAACTGACTGTTTACATTTACCCCGAGATTTTGAAATTTTCCCAAATTTCGGGGTAAATGTAAACACCCCTGTAGTTTAAAGAGGTTTAAGAAAAGTTATCCCCAGTATACTGAAAAAAAATTCTTGGTAGATGTAAAATAATTGAACCAATTGATTGATATGCAACATATAAAATAAGCAATCATTACCATAACAAACCTAGTAATGTAAAAACTTGAATAACTTCAATAAATTTTAATAGATTTTCATTCAACTTAGTGAAAATAAGTTTTTAAGGTTGTTGAATAAGATTCTAAAATCGAATTTTTAAATTTCAAAATGGCGGATCCAAAATGGCGGACAAACATAAAAATATTGTTAAAAATTGATCAAATTTGCTTGAATCTCGCTACTCGGGGGTTTTTGAGGTCACTGAATACGAATTTGAAGACAAATTTAAAATTTTCAAAATGGCGGATCCAATATGGCGGATGAACCTAAAAATATTTTAAAAAATTGATCAAATTTGCTTAAATCTCGCTACTCGGAGGTTTTCGAGGTCGCTGAATACGAATCTGAAGTCAGATTTAAAATTTTCAAAATAGCGGATTCAATATCGCGAAAGAGGTTTTTAAAAATTGATCAAATTGGACTAAATTTCTCTGCCCACTGACATTTAGAAAATATGAATATCAACACAATTAATATAGTGCGAAATTTTTCCTCTTTATCAATCAATCAATCAATTAATCAATCAATCAATCAATCAACCAATCCATAAATCAATCATCCAATCAATCCACCAATCAATCACTCAATCAATCAACCAATCCACCAATCAATCCACCAATCAATCCACCAATCACTCAATCAACCAATCTATGAATCAATTATCCAATCAACTAATCAATCCACCAATCAATCCATCAATCAATCAATCTATCAATCAATTTATCAATCAATCAACCAATCAATCATTCACTCTTATTCTAGGATTCCTACGTACCTGAGTTTTATTTACCAATCGTGAAGACTCGCTTTCACATATTTTAAACACGTAAATGCACTATGCAATACTATACAGGTCTATACCTGCAACTGACTAACACGAAGGAGATATAAAAGAAGATCCAATTTCGTTTTTTATGTAATTTTACAGGGCCAAAATAATGTAATTGTGAAATAGAAGCAAATTTATTCAATTATTTTCTTTTAAAATGCAGCAGAAATTCTGTTTACATTTACCCCGAGTTTTCGAATTCTCGGGGTAAATGTAAACACTTAATTATCTATTAACTGAATTGACGAAATTAAAAAATCAAAATCAGCTTTTGTTAAGGGATTCATAAGGAATAATTAGAAATTTTAGTTTGAATTTTTAGTTCATTTTTATTCAAATGCGAGACAAAATACTGAAACAGTAAATCTTTGATTTTCAATCTTTCATGCATTAAGCGACAAATTGGAGTATGGCTTTGACAATTGTCGAAAAAAAAAATTGGCAATACTCAGAACCTGTTGCAGGTGAGCTGAGGTTAAAATATTGGGGTCGAACTTAATTTTAAATCTGTAAATTAAGCTGCAATATCTGCTGTTTACATTTACACCTTGTTTACATTTTCCCCAAAGGGCCCTATTAATTTTAATTTATTCCAACAATATTAAATATTTAATTTGCTTATTATAATAATATTAATTATTAATAATTAATATTAAATAACATTTAGTACGATTTTCATTTTTATTGAAGGCTTATAAACGATACGTCAATCTTCCCGAAGGAGATGTTGTACAAGGAAAAAATGCTTCTGGAATAATTGTAAGACCAAAAAGTACCTATCTCGAAGTTGAATGGCTGGAAAAATTTGATTATAAAAATTCATTAAAAGTAGGTAAAATAATTCCCCTCTATATTTCCCTCTTCCTTTAAGAGTAATTTTTAATATTATTATTTCAGAATTTTATTAAAATACAAATGAGATGATTGAATTTTTCTTTTGTTTTATTAATATAAAAATTATTTTATTATTTTCTTAATATAAAAATTGTTTTATTGCATTATTAATAAAAAAATGAATTTATTTTCAGCGAGCATTAAATAAACAATTTTGTTATTAAACAGATTATTTTTCAGAGTAGTTGGAAATATGCTATAAAATTTATTTTGTTCTAGATTTATTTCAATTATTTTTTTGAGGATTCTGGTGTACGTGAAATTGTTGAACTTAATAATTTATGCGCTAAATATAAATATGGCACTTTAAATAATGCCGTTAAAAAATTTGTATTGGCTAAACTCGGGAATACCAATAAATGTCCAATAAAAAAGGTATAATTTAAAAATATTCCATATGCGTTACAAATATGTTTTTTTTAATACCTGCACGGAAAATGCGATTTACTAGGCCTGGTGGCAGAGGTTCAAAATAGCCTATTCCTTTATGTGTCACGTGATCGTGAGGGAAATGCTCATTTCTCCCACTAGTAGAAGAAATAGGTTGAAGCATTCATAAGCTCTCAGTCCACGCCCACTTGGAAAGATTCCCCGAAAAGTGCCCCCTGGAGGTTCTATCAGAATTTTGCCGGAACTTCAGTCGGAATTCCATCGGAGTTAAAAAAAATTTCCGATGGGATACCGACAGAATTCCGATTAATTTTCTTTCAAAATTTTTAGAGTCCTAATTCTGTCGGAACTCCGTCGGAATCCCATCGGAAATTCTTTGAAACTCCGATGGAATTCCGACGGAATTACGTTGGAAGGTCCGGTGGAATTCTGATAGAACCTCCAGGGGACACTTTCCGGGGAATCTTTCCAAGTGGGCGGGGATTATTAAAATATTATATAATTTCTTATTCTTATTTAATTAAATTTACGTGATTACATCAATTCTGAGAAGCAAATGAGTTCAAACATGTGATTGATAAAATATAAACATAAATGTTTAGGGAAATATCACCCACATTCTATTATCTCCAATACAAAAAAAATAATAGTATTGTCAAAATTTAAAGGGACATAATATTCTTAATTTCTATATTATTCAGTATAATGAAGCGCGTGAGAACTATATCATCAGATAAGGTTGTAAACATCACAGAAAAACCCAAATCTCAAATTGAGTACAAAATTTATTCTCAATTTGATACGCATCAAAAATGAGACAGGCAGATGGCGCCACGTTCTATGTCATTTAACATGCACTCATTTTGAAATGCAACAAATATGAGTCCAACTTTTTTCTATGATGTAGTAGAAATTTATAAATGAAAATACGTTAGCATTTATCTTTTTTTTTTTGCTTTTCCAATTTTCATACTATACTTATATATATTTATATTCTTCTCCTTTATTTTTAAGTTATTTGTCGCTTTTCAAACTAAATTAGAGGAATCTTTCCAATAATTATTTAATTTTTTAGCTTTTGTTATTAACTTTTCAAAATTCTTTTACTTGTTTAAACAATTGATTGTTCATCGTTTCAAAGAATTTGATGCTAAGGAAAATAATAATAAATAAAAGAATTAGATATTTTTATTTAAATATTCAAAATAAACAATTAATCAGACGATATAGCTTAGTTTGTGTATCCGCGTTGATATCGCAGCAATAAATCGATGTATCGTTTCATTTCCTAACTAACTTCATGTTGACACATAACGCAAGATTATAGACACTAGTGTATTTCCACTTGATGCACAATGTACTATTTTAAAATAATAAAAGAACACAGTACCTAAATAACTAAATATTATAATTATTTAAAATACATATTTTTGATAGTTTTTTTTAATTACAATTTATTATACTTTTTTTGTTTATTATTATTCAATGTAATTAATTAAAAATTTTAATTAATTATGTATATAATTATTATTTAATTAATTAATAAATTTTTAACTAATTTTTGAAAAATAATATTATTTTTAGGGTAAAAAGAAAGTCAAATTTCCAGTGAAATTTGCCTATTTGACAAAAAATAAAAATTGTGGACCAGTTTTTGCAATGTTTAACGTCTTTAGAAATAATAAAACAGATAATAATACAACTCCTATGCTAATTGGTGCAACGTTCAGAGGAACTGTAACTGGTGACGATTGTTAATTAAATAAAAAGAAAATTGTATAATTTTTCAAAAATGTTTAGAACAATGTTTTATAAATATGATCACAAATAAATAAATATTATTTTAGAAATATGAGTAAAAATTTTAGACCTCGGTGCGATTGTGTAATTTTATTTTCATCTCCAGTCACACTTTCATTTTTACATTCATTTTTCAGTAAAAAATTTCCATCAAAGTGAAAATGATAGTGAAAGTGATAATAAAAGTGATAGTGAAAATGATAGTGTTTCAAAATCGGATTAAATTTACAAAATAATCGCCATTTTGTTTTTTTATCCATTATTAAAATACAACATTTTTCCTAATCAAAAAGCATAAAATTCACTTGAAACTTATTACTCGGGGATTTTTTGGGTCACTGATTACGAATCCAAACGATTTTTTTTTTAAAAAAGTCCGCCATATTAGATCAGACATTTTAAATTTTGAAAAACTGACAGAGGATTCGAAATCATCGACCCTGAAAACCCTCCAAGTAGAAAGTTTCAAGTGAATCTGAACGATTTTAAAAAAAGTCTTCCATATTGGATACGCCATTTTTAATTTTGAAAAACTGATAGGGTCAGCCGGGGTAAATCCGAACGCTTTTAGTAAGTTTCAACAATAACATAAGTTTTTTCTTTTGAAAGACAATACTTCCGGTATTCTGGTGCATGAAGTTGTTACTTTACTTCCATAGAACAATTTTATGGGGTAGCAAAAATTTTTGATAAATTACAATCACAGGAAACTTAGCGTTCATATTTACCTCGATACTTTGCAACTTTCCTAAAATACCGGGGTAAATACGAACGCCACTGTATTTCAGAAAAATCTTAGGGAAAATAAATTTAAAGTATTGCAATTGTTAAACTTATATAAAAACTCAAAAAAATACGATAATAAACCTATTATGTAATAATGCAACATATATAAATACAAAAATCAAACAGGTTAAAAATTAAAATGCATTCGACAATTAAAACCTTCAATAACTTTATCAAATCACAAAGAAATTTTGGAAAACTTGGTACAGAAAGTATTTTGGAGTGATTGAATGTAAATACAAAAATAAAAGTCAAATTTTTTAAATTCAAAATGGCGGACTTTCCTAAAACTTATTTTTAAAAATGATCAAATTTGCTAACTCCAAATTCGTAATCAGCGACCCTGAAACCCCCCGAGTAATAATTTTCGAGCGAATCCAATGAATTTTTTAATTCTCGTCCGCCATATTGGATCCGCCATTTTGAATTTTGAAAAACTGACTTGAAATTGGTAATCAGCGACCCCAAAAACCCTAGAATACCAAATTTTATTAAGATCCTGAAAAACTTTTTTCAACAAACCATTTGTCAAAAAAAGTGGAACACTCCTTCGAGAGAACAGAGATTAAGTTTCTGCTTATCAGTTACTAACGAGGATACATATAGAAAGAAAAACTTTTTTCTATGTACTTTTATAATGTTAAAATAATAGTGTAATTAAATAAAAACAATTTTGTGTGGCTCTGATATAAGAAAAAATTATTGAAAATACCGTTCGGAATTACCCCGGTTTTCCAATTTTCCGGGGTAAATACGAACGGTCTGATATTATTAATAAAATTTTACAGAAGGCAAAAATAAAAAATAGTTTCTGTTCCAGTATTCATAACAAACAATTATAAATAATAAAATGAATTTTTAGCTTCTTTTTCTTCAAATACGAGACAAAAAATACTGAAAGAGTGTCATCTTTGATTTTCAATCTTTTTTGCAATACTCGTTATAAATTACAAGTAGTTTAGTTTCATTATTGTAAAAAATAAATAAATAAATAATATCTGTTGCTAATACCTATATACATTTGATTTTATTATTAAAATAATATAAAATATAATATAATTAAAATAATTAAACTAATAATTTATAAAAAAGAAAATTAAAATAAAATCCTTAACAAAATTTTAAAAAGAAAAAAATTTTTAAAATCAAGAGAGTTAAAATTTTACTACTTTTTCTTATTTCTGGAGTAAAATTCCACTTTCCAAGTAAATTTCTAAAGAATTTCATTTAAAAATTTTTTAATTATTTTACTTTTACAAAAAAATATAAATATTTGAATGTTTACAGGCAAAGTCTCGAATAGTTACTCTTCGTTCAGGATTTATAACTAAAGGTGCAAATTCTAGTGATGTAATTGTTAGAAAAATTAATGATAATCAGGAAATTGTGTGGCAAGAAAATTTTGATAAAAATAATTCTTTAAAGGCAAGTATTGACAAAAAAATGGCTACTAAGGTAAAAAAAACCCACATATAAATATCCACAACTGGAATTGAGAAATTTTTTATACGAAAATAAAATTTATTTATTATTTTTTATATGCAATTTGACACACGTCATTGCGACTATTTTTTTGATTTGATTAAATATTTATTTTTATCTATTCGTACTCTACAAAAATGAATATTTCATTATTTCTATCGATTTTTTTTTATAATGTCAATAAAATTCCAACCAAAATATAATTAAAATAAATAAAATAATTTTTTCTCCTCAAATAATTATATAAAAATAATTTTTTAAAATCAGTTACAAAATGAAATATTTTTTTTAAACCTCAGATTTTGTTTAAAAAAAAAAAAATAAAATCGTGTCTTTTACCCAAAAAGAGTCAAAGTTTTTTTTTTTTTTTTTTTATTCAAAAAATGTTTGGAAAGAAACATTTTTTCATCTGGATCACTTCACGTGAAATTACCCATAAATGAGGAATTCCATGTGAAGTGATTAAGGTGGAAAAAAATTTTTTTCCGAAAATTTGGGTAATTTATAGTTCTATGGGATGATAATTCATAGCAAAAAGCTTTTTTTTCATTTAGACTATAATTTACTTGGGGGGGAGGGGAGTTTCAATAGTTTTTTTTGCGTCTTTTCGATTTGTAAAATGCATTTTTGAAAAAGACCATAAAAAATGAAGATAAAAAATAAATTTGACTTTTTCAGGGGGGAAAGATACATTTTTTTTTATTGAAGAAAAATAAAATTAGAATTTTCTAAGTGAAAAATAAAAAAAATAAAAAAATCATGATGTAATAAATTTATTTATTATAAATTTCTTTTAGGTTTATTTCACGCAGATTTACGAAGACGTGGGACTGACGGAAACAATTGAAATTGAAAATTTGTGTAATAAATATGAAAAGGATACTTTGATGAACGGAATTCAGCATTTTGTTCTAAACAAATTTGGAAATACCAATAAATGTACAATAAAAAAGGTAAAAAAGATATTAAAATTTTAATAAAGAATAGAAATTTATAATTTAAAAAAAAAAATTTTTTTATTCGTATAGGGTAAAGTAAAACTTTCCTATCCAATAATTCACAAATTCCATGCAAGAACAAAAAGTTTGAGATGTGGACCAATTATCGCAACAATCAACATTGTTAGAAACAAACCAACGAATTCTGAAACGACTCCTTTATTAATCTCTGCCTGGTTACGAGGTGGTATAAGTGGTTGTTAATATTATATTTGAAACTGATGTGTTATATATAAATATTGAAAAATATAATATTAAAGTATTAAAAAGTTTTTTATTGACATCTAACTATATATTTCTAAATTTTTAAATTTATAAGTGCCCAAATTTTTATCCAATTTTTTTTTTTTTTTTGCAGTGTAGAAATTAATATATAAATGAATTATATCATGCGTTATTAAAAATAAAAAGAACTTACCGATATTGATGATAGGTCCTAAAATATAGCTCTGGGGTCACTTTCACTAAGTTCAAACACTCCCGTATAATCTAAAATTGCAAAAAATTTAATGAATTTTCAAAAATCCGCACTCTTTACCTGAAACAAAAACTAAATTCCAATAATAATTATATTTTTAAATGATTAAAAACTAAATAATTATTTTAAATCTGTTTTACCGATGAAAACCATGAAATCTGTTTTATCAGCAGTCGGTAAAACAGTTTTAAATTTATGTAAACCGTCAAATAAGTTTTACCAGCAGCCGGTATAATAGTTTTGTCGGAATAATTATTGCGTATTTAATAAAATCAGTCAACTCTACGTTATTAGAACTCGGTAAAACAGTTTTTAACAGTCAAAACTCTTTTATCAGCAGTAGGTAAAAAAGTTTTTTTTCAACCAAGCATTATTGTCGATTTAATCGGTCTAATCTGTTTTATCAGCAGTCGATAAAATAATTTTGACTAAGAATTATCATCGATTTAATCGGTCTAATCTGTTTCATCAGCTGTCGGTAAAAAAGATTTTTTAAAACTAATAACGCAATTCAATTCCACGTGATAAATTACTACATAAACATATATGACTTGATTTTTTAAAAAAATTTATTATAAAAATTCTCTATATGGGTAATATAAGTATAATGTAAAATTTAAGTTTTAATTTAACATTAGATTAAAGTACATCAGGTTAAGAAAAAAAAACGTGAATTTTGCTATTATTCATTTATTATTTTTGTTTAAACTTACAAGCAAACTATACTGCACTTAGGTATTATTTTTTAAATGCAACAAAAACGAGTTATGATAAAATAACAAAGTTTTGTAGACAATTTATTTATCTTTATTACATTTTCAAAAATATAAAAGTGTATAATTTTCCTAAACATAATTGATAGTTACGGTTTTTTGTCTAGTGTTTTTGTTATAAGGTCTACAATTATTGAAGAGTAGGTGAATTTGTTACTCCTCTTTGTAAAAAAAAAAATTTAAGTCTAAAGGGACTTCTACCAGATCACACTTTTTCGCCTAAACAATAATCGATAAGAATCCAGACATTAAGATTACTTTAGCACTAAGTTTAAGGAAATTTTTTTTTTTTTTTTTAATCAAAAGCCCATTTTATAAATATTGTATTCTGTCATTATCATACGTATCAAACAAAAATGTTGAAATTTGTATGTTTTTTTATCATTTTCGCTGTTGATACAAATGTAAGTATACATAGATCATAATTTTATACACATACTCAATATGTATAAAAAAAGGAGAATTTAGAATACAAATTACGTACTATAAAGAATTGAAAATATTGATTTATTATTCAAAATTTTTGTAAAAATGAAACAACCATAGCAAAATAAAATATATTCTATTATTATTATTATAATTTTTTTTTATTATTATTTTAATTGCTATTCAAGATAAAATGGGTAATAAAATGTATTTTACATTTACTTTTTTTTAAAAAAAAACATCTTTGGTATTATAGGTAATATGTAAATTAAGAAAAATTAAACTGTACTGAATTTAAAATTACAATTTTAGGAAGTAAACAGCTTATTTTTTACTACACCTGATGTAAACCGAACCATAATTCTTTATACTGGTAACTTTTTGATGAACAATATTACAACAGGTGTAAAATTATCAAAAGTGGGTAATAATTTGAACTTTGAATGGACGGAAGAATTCAACAATAAAAACAATTCTTTCAAGGTTCGTAAATTTTAATTTTTTTTTACGTATTTAGATATATTACAGTGAAAAAAAATTTTTGTGTTTGCCACAAAATCGTTTGGTTAGGCAATTTTTTTTCTTGTAACAAAATTTTAGGTTGGTTGAAACAAAGTCGTAGAGTTATCTCAACCAAACGTTTGGTTAGGCCAACAAAATTATTTGATTGAACATTTTTAAATTCCAACCAAAATTTGGTTACGACAACAAAATAATTTGGTTAACAAAACAAAATAGTTTGGTCTAAAAAACCAAATTATTGCTTTGTTGTCCTAAACAAAATTTGGTTACGACAACCAAATAATTTAATTCACTCTCAGCTCGTACCTTAAGAAAACAATTAGTTTAAATCTCTCAACAAGATGGGTAGTCCAGTGGTCAGAGCTCCCGACAAGCAATTTAAAAACAGAGGTTCGATCCCAGGCGGAGATGAGATTTTTTAATGTCCACAAATATGTCAATTGGATAAATATACATTAAACGTTCAATCGATAATAAATAAATAATAAAATAATTAAAAAAGATAAAATGAAAAGAAATAAGGTGGAATAAAATTTTTAATTTTACAAAAAAAAAACCTGTTGATTTGATCAACCAAACATTTTTGTTAACCTAATAAAAAAATTTAGTTCAGCTAACCAAACATTTTTGTTATGTCAACAAAAAATACTCAACCAAATTTTTTGGTTGACTCAAACGAATAGTTTGGTTGCTTAAATATCAAGAAAAATTTTTTGTTGGCCCAATTAAATTTTGATTGCTCTGATAAAACATTTTTCTCAGTATATTATTTTTTATACTAATCTAATTGTATGAAATACAAATTTAAAAATAAAATAAAGTCAGCTAAAAAATCATAATATAAACAAAAACAAATTTCATTTAAATTTTAAACTCCTGTTTTTATATAAATAAATATATAATAAATTTACTATTTAATTGGAAAAAAATTGTAAACTTTATTTTATACGTTGTTTTTATATAGGCTTACGTAAATTATTTTTTTGCAAATTCTGGAATACGCGAAATTGTAACTGTCCCTAATATGTGTAACACTTATAAAGAAGACAGTTTACAATATTTTCTTCAACTTTTGATCTTAAAAGGATTTGCAAATACATTCAAGTGTCCAATTAAAAAGGTAAGAAATGAATTTATAAACCTAAAAAAAATTGATTTATAAAAAAATAAAAAAACGAATTTTCTTTTCATCAAAATAAAAACTTATTTGAAAATATTAAATTAATTTTTAGAGATTAAATGACTTTTTAATTAAGATGTTCTGTTTCATTTAAATATATATATATATATAAATAATTTAAATATTATATTATATAAAATGTAATTTTCACAGGGATCAACGAGCACTTTTGAAATGCCATATACTTATACGTATACAACTAAAAATCATGCTTGTGGACCCTTTTATGCAATGTACAATATTTTTAAATTAAATCCAAAAAAACCTAAAATTACTCCAGCACTATTTGTTGCTACATTCACAGGACATATATCTGGTGCCAATTGTTATCCGAAAATAAAATATAATCATTTAAATTAATTTTAACTTTAATAATTTGTAATTATTATAAAATATAATAAAATAAACAAAATAATATAAATTTACTTTTTTTTAAGTCTTACTCACTATTAATGATTGCTTTCATTTTGTTTTCATTTTGACGTAAAATAATGATAAAAAAAAAGTTTATGAAAAATAATTAGTCAATATAGATAAAAAATTCATTAATACATTGTATATAATAAAAATAATAATTATAAAAAATAATTAAAACTACTACTTTAAGTAGTACATTTTTACTATTTTAATTAATTCGATAAACTCAAAGAAGATTTTTGATGCATAATTTACAAATGGTTTCCAATTAAAACTACTACTTTCAGTAGTAGCTTTTACTACTTAAAGTGGTTCAATAGGCTTTAAGAACATTTATGTCGTAGAATTAAAAAAATCCTTTGCAATTAAAACTATCACTTTAAGTAGTAGATTTTACTGCACTATGCAATTAAACAACTTATAATATAATTAAAAGATGAAAAATTTACAAGTCAAAACTTAAAAAGGATAGTTATAGCAACTAATAAAAGTAGTAAAAATGACTACTTTAAATAGTTAAATTACCAATTGGACAAGCATAAAGTAGTCTTCGAGTAGTTTTCAGACTGTCGTAGCGAGCGTGCGTGGTTAGTCGGTTAAGATATCAGATAGCGAGCGTTAGGGTCGAGGGTTCAATTCCCGTCGGTTAGAAATTTTCTCTGTTAGGCACATAACCGTTAGGGCATAAGATAAGCGTCAGTATAGGAGAGAGGATGAAAAAATCAATTCTACTGATAATAAACAATTATAAATAAAAAAATAATTTTATTTTCCTACTTTAAGTAGTAAAATCTACTACTTAAAGTAGTAGTTTTAATTGCAAAATATTTATTCAATGTACCAAAAAAATGTTCTTAAAGCCTATTGAACCACTTTCAGTAGTAAAATCTACTACTTACATCTTGAGTTGTTTTAACATTTTTAAATTGAGTTAATACAATCACAAAATGTCATTCTACCATTTACATTTTTAATTGGTTTAACTATTTTTATATAGTTAAAAAGTGATTTTTTTCAAAACCGAAGTGATTAAATTTAATTTTTATTGAAAGGATGAAATTTTTTCTAACTAATTATGTAAATTAAAAAATTGTACATAAAATTTATTTAAAAAAATATTAATAAAAATATAATCCAACTTTAAACCTTCCCCTTTTCTCTTTAAAAAAAGAACTATAAAAATCATTGAAAAAAAACGGCCTCCTAAACTTGTTTCTTAATGTTTTTAATGATTAGATGTTTGTTCAGGGTAAAAATAATTAAATTTTTTTAATAATATAGATACAATGTTTATATTTGGGAATAGTTTATCTACATTTTATGATAAAAAAAAGAGAACCAGTTCTATCGCACTTACTATAAATACATGTGGTCAGCTTAAAATAATTTAAAATTAAAAATTTGCTCCTCTACAAAAATGTTAAAATTAATTATTATCCTTTATTCACTAATCGTTGTTTCACATGTAAGTTTCATTCGCTAATTTTTTAAACAAATATATATATATATATATATATTAATTTTTTTTATTCTCTCTCTTTAAATTTAAATTATATAGTAAAAAATCGTGCGTTAATTAAAATTAGTCAAAATTTGCCACTAAGTCTTAGTAATGCTTCACTAAAACTTTAATAGAAAAAAAGCAACTAAATCATATTGAAAATTACTAATTTTAAAAAATTTTAATTTTACTAAAAATTTTAATTTTACTAAAAATTAATTAAAAATACAAATTTCTACTAAATTTATTTTTTTATTTACACATAAATTATTTCTACAAAAAATGTAAACAAAATTAAATGTTTTTCTAATTTACTTTTAGGCATTAGAATTTACAATTACTGTTACTACAGGACATATAATTCAAGGGACAAATTCTAGTGGTGTAATGGTAAGAAAAAATAAAGGCCAACAGGAAATTGTGTGGCAGGAGAAATTTGATAATGATAATTCTTTAACGGTAAGCAATATAAAATTGTAAAAGCCTGTATTAGTTTTTTTACATGCTTATATATAGTAAACAATTAATTTTACTTTAAAATTAATGTAAACTTACAGTAAATATATATATTTTTTTTACGCAAAATTTAATAAACTTTTATCTAATTCTTTAGAATTCTAAATATTTAGTAAAAATGTCAATTAAATTTTGCGTAAAAAAAAATTTAAATATCTCTAAGTTATTCTATTTGGAAAAAAAATCAATGAAAAAAGTAAAGCGCTTTTTTGTAACCAATTTTTTTTAGTGGACACAGGTCTGCAAAATTCGACACGATCCCGTATCCAAAAATTGTCTAGCACGTCAGGATTTTGAGAAAAGTGGGGGTAAAAATCCAAAAAACGTGTTTTTGGAAATTTTCAATATTTTTTTTCTCTTTAACCTGACGTGTTAAACATTTCCATGAAGTCTTAAATGAAAGCTTTAATCGTACACTTTAATACTCATAAGCACAAGATCAAAAAAATAGAGAATTTTGAGAAAAGTGGGGGTAGAGACCCCAAAAAAATTTTTTTTGTTATTTTTAACATTGGAGTGGTTTTCAATGTTCTTTTGTCCGCTGAACACGATTCCAGGTTTCAAAATTGTCTAGCACGTCAACATTTTGAGAAAAGTGGGGGTAAAGAGAAAAAAATCTTAAAAACCCCCAAAAAATACGTTTTTCTGGATCTTAACCCCAACTTTTCTTAAAATCCTGACGCGATAGACAATTTTAGAACTCGGAATCGTGTTCAGCGGACAAAAGTACATTGAAAACCACTTCGATATCAAAAATAACAAAAAAAAAAAATTTTTTGGGTTTCTACCCCCACTTTTCTCAAAATGCTATTTTTTTTGTTTTGCGCATGTGGGTCTTAAAGTGTACTGTATACGTAAAAATAAGTTGTAAATTTTTTTTAGGTTTACTATATGCAAGCTTCTGAAGCTACTGGACTTGTAGAAACAATAAAAATTGACAATTTATGTAATAAATACGAAAGTGGATCTTTAGAACATTCCGTCAAGTATTTTATTTTAAATAAATTTGGAAACACTAATAAATGTTCAATAAAGAAGGTATAAAATATGAAACAGATTCTACCCACTTGGAAAGATTCCCCGGAAAGTGCCCCCTGGAGGTTCTATCAGAATTCCGCCGGAATTAGGACTCTAAAATTTTTGAAAAAAATCAATCGGAATTCCGTCAAAATCCCATCGGAAATTCTTTGGAACTACGATGGAATTCCGACGAAATTACGTTGGAAGTTCCGGCGGAATTCTGATAGAACCTCCAGGGGGCACTTTCTGGGGAATCTTTCCAAGTGGGTATATGTGACGCGCAACGACAAAAAAAAATATTCGAGGAAAAAAAATATTTTAGGTTATATTTTTAGTAATAGTTTTAGCTTGATGACAATAACACAGAAAATTAAAAGGTATTAAAATAAGCTGCAACGGTTATTATTTTAATCCAATTTTGCTTATTTTAATACCAAAATGGATTAAAATAAGCAAAATTGGATTAAAATAATAAGCGTTGCAGCTTATTTTAATACCTTTTAATTTTCTGTGAAATACCTGGGCTCATTTTTGCTGCGGTTCAAAATGAGCCAATGCTAAACGACATAGAACGTGGCGCCACCTACTTGACTCATTTTTGCTGCGGATCAAAATGATCCTGCTGGCTGGATCATTGTTTATAATAAGAATTAGTTTTCTTTGTCTATTTTCAATTTTAAAAATTACAAACATAACCTAAAATTTTTTATCTCTAAGGTAAATTTTTTCGTGGTGCGTTACATATATGGGGTATTTAACATGAGATTTTCATTCAAAATTTTTAAACATATTTTTTTCGAAATCTTCATAAAAAAATAAGAAAACAATTATTCGAAAAAAATTTTTTTAATTTAAAAAAAATTTTTTTAAATTAAAATCTTACATTGAATGCCCCATATGAATTTAGCATTGCAAATGCGTGTATATTTTTTAAAAATTAGAAAGAGATTTGAAATTTTTTTTAAAAAATGTTTTATTTCTAGCGAAAAGTCAAAATTTCCTATCCGCTAATTGCCGAATTTCAAGGAACAACGGAAAATACAAATTGTGGTTCAACTATTGGAACGTTTCATATTGTTAGAAATAATCCGACTGATTCTGATAAGACACCTGTGCTAATTAGCGCCTGGTTTAGAGGTTCTATATCTGGTGACAGTTGTGAATAACAAATATTTCAAAAAACTTTTAAATAAAATAATTAATATTTTAAAAAGAGAAATAAATTTCTTTTTTTTGTTTCTTCATATTTTCTTTTTTGTTAATTTTGTGTAAGCCTGTTTATTACTGTAATAATAAATAAACAAAAAAAAAAAAAAAAAAAATTGAAACATACACAACATGTACCTATACATATGGGGTAAAATTTCTAAAGTGATACAAGTACATTAACTTTATTTGTTTATAAAATATTTCATTTTTTATTAACATTAATTAATATCTCCAAAACAAAACAAAAAAATGACATTTATTTTAACATTTTTTTCGATTAAAGAAAGAATTTGTTTGAACCAAATAAATTATTGATTGATTCAACCAAAAATTGATTATTTCAAACAAATTTTTTTTCTGAGTATTTAATTTAAGTCACATAAAGACTTTTTTCTTTTTTAAACCAGTGTTAGAACAAATTAGGGAGAGAGGGGTCAAATTTGACAAATATGTCCCAAATATAAAATCGTTTTCCATTAAAAAAAAAAAAAAAAAAATCATTGCTCAAATGAAAATGATTTTCATTTTGTAAAGAAATATTATACTCAATGGCAGTAGAAACGAATACAGCGAGCGCGACGTTATAAAAATTACAGACATTTTCAACTGCGAGTGATACCATCAATCCACAAACCGCGGAATAAAAGAAAAGCGGAATGAGTCCCGCTGTGAATCGTCCGCTGATTCACGACATGCATTGCACTCGCACCTAGAGCCCCTTTTTTTCTACAAGCGCAAGAGTTTATTATTTTTTTTTTCTTTTTTTTTTGATCTCACAGCAGCAGCAGCAGTAGCACCCCGTTCTCTTTCTCTCCTTTTTCCTTTGCCTTTCTTCCGGAACAAGAGAAAAGAGAGATTGAAATTGCGGATTAGACCGTCTCGCACAGGAAAAGAGAGTGTACAGATGTATAATCGCGCAAGCAATGGTTGCTACCCTCGAAAAACAGGAAATCCAAAGGTTATAGCACTGCACATGAATGTATGCAGATTCATTGCAGAACTTTCACGTTTCCGATGTTAAAGATATAATCCTGGTTCTTTCTCTTTTTGGGGGAGATCATTTTACAAGTTTTTGACTACACTGAGAAAAATAATAATGTAATGGTAATAAAATAATTTGGTAGAGCACTTTTAGTCAAGATTACAAAAATTTAGTTGACATAAAAGTAACGAAAGAAGCAATCAATCGAGAAATTTAGTTGGCTGTACCAAAAATTTCGTTCAAGCTTTTGCGTTTGTTAACTGAATAATTTGGTTCTCCAAACCAAACCGTCTGAATGCTCAATTGCGCATGCGCTGTTCTCGTAAATATGGCTTATTTCTCTGTTTACGGATGTCACACGTTAACCATGCTTCGCTCTTCGTGTCGTCCAGTTTTATTCAAGTGTTTTCGGGATTTTTATGTGTTTCAGAAATTGGGTAAAAAAGTGTGTGTAGTGATGCATATCGAACAATATGATCAAGAAATGGATAAATGTGGGAAATATGTTCGTTCTTCATGTGAAAATCGGACCATCTCATTAGAAAATATTTCAAAATATTAATTTTCTTGATTGAAGTGATAGTTCTATCATTTAATTTACTGAGTGAAAAAATTTTATATAGGAAAATGGTCGGTATTAATTACAAAAACCGTAAGAACTCTTGATCTCTAATGTTTTCAACTGTCAAATGTCACTGTGTTTTGGTGAAAAGAAAATATGCAAATAAAATCTCGAGCACGTCAATTATGATCACGAGAATTACAACAAAAAATTCTTTATTCTCATATTTTATAACATGGCTGTCGAGAGAATAAAGCTTGTTAAAAGAACGGAAGTTTTTCTCCAGCCTGTATACTTTATGAAAATAATTTACACTCACATTGTCACTAGGATTCTTAGTGTAGTGGTCAGCGTTCTTGATTTGCGTTGCGTAGTCTGAGGGTTCGATCCCCAGCAGTGTTAGGTTTTTCCGCAATAGAAATTAATTTAAGTAGACATAGGGTGGTAGGTAATATAAAGCGAAAAGAATAAAAGAGGATAACAAAAGTGATAAAATTAAGTGAAAAATAAAAAATATAAGTGTGAGCCAAAAAATAATTTGGTTGAGAAAAGAAAAAAATTTTTTTCATTTAACTAAATTTTTTGTTTGATTAAAAACAATAAGTTAGTTGTGCAAAACAAAAAATTTGGTAGACCGAACAAAATGATTCAACGAAAAAATTTGGTAGCCCGAACCAAACGGATTAGTTGCACATATATCAAATAAAAAATTTGGTTTGGAGAACCAAACTTCAGTAGATGATACCAAACAGTTTCCTCAGTGTACCTATATATATATATATTAGTCCTTATTTTCAAAATTTTCATCATTCTCGGATAAAATTTAATTTGCAAAAAAAATACGTAAACTGAACAAAATGTTGAGCAATCAAAATTTGGTTGGGCAAACAAAAAAAAATGTTGTTAGTATTTAAGCAATCAAACTATTTCTTTGAATCAATCAAAAAATTTGGATGAATGTTTTTTGTTAACATAACAATTTGGTTGTCGTAACCAAATTTTGGTTACGACAACATACGATCATTTGGTTTTTTAGACCAAACTATTTTTTTGTTTTAACCAAATTATTTTCTTGTTAAAACAAAATTTTGGTTGGAATTTAAAAATGTTGAACCAAATAATTTTGTTGGCCTAACCAAATGTTTAGTTGAGATAACTCTACGAATTGTTTTAGCCAACCAAAATTTCGTTACAAGAACCAAAATTGACTAATTCAACAATTTTGTTGCAAACACGCAAAATCTTTTTTTTTTATGTGTATTTTTTCACTTTTAATTTAAATAAATATTTAATGGTGAATCAAAGCCCATGAATTTTTACATACTGTCTACCGGGGCTATTATACTCAAAAAAAATACTACATTTTTTTAATCACAATCAGTGTTTTACCAAAAATCATAATTTAAATAAACAAAAGTTTTTACTCTCGTGTTATGTTGTGAACTTCCGTCTGAAGGTATCCTGTAAGTTAGACGGCAAGAAAATTTTTTTTTATCAGAGTTATTGAAACTTGAAGTAGTGAGCATAATAGCCCCGCGGTTTGGGGCTATTATACTCATTGTCAGCAAAGTTTTTTTATTTATAAAACTAGAGGGGCTACGCCCCCCTGCGCGCTTCGCGCGCCAACCCCCCTATTTAATCATTTTTTTTTAATTTTCCATTGATCTCATTTTTCCAAATGAACCACCTATTTCAAAGAATTATTATTACAAATTCATTGAAATCTGAAAAAATATTATTAAAATTAAAATTATTAAATTTTAATTAATAAATTAATTAAATTAATAATAAATAAATAATTAAATCAATTAAAATCGACATTAAGAAATTATTTTTAAAAATAATTTCAATGAAATTGCCTAACAACCAATAAATTATTAAAAAGTCTTGAAACGAACATAACCTTTAAATTCAAGTCATTTTTGGCGGAAACTCCACCTTCACTTGCGGCTATATTGAAAGTCTTGAAATTTACATAACCTTAAAATTTATGTCATTTTTGGCAGGAAATACAGAGAGAGATGAGGGAAGGGGGAAGGACTTACTGCTTTATTAGGGTCTTAAAACAAACATAACCTCAAAATTTAGGTCAATTTTTGGCGGAGGAGGGGAAATGAGAGGAGGGAGGGGGGACTTACGGCTATATTCAGAGCCTTGAAACGAACATAACCTCAAAATTTAGGTCATTTCTGGCGGGGGAGGGGAGGGGACTTGCGGCTATATTCAGAGTCTTGAAACGAACATAACCTAAAAATTTAGGTCATTTTTGACGGAGGAGGGGAAATGAGAGGAGGGAGGGTGACTTGCGGCTATATTCAGAGTCTTGAAACGAACATAACCTCAAAATTTAGGTCATTTCTGGCGCGGGAGGGGAGGGGACTTGCGGCTATATTCAGAGCCTTGAAACGAACATAACCTCAAAATTTAGGAGGGGGGACTCCCCCCCTCCTAGGTCAAGAATTCTTGAAACAGCGGCGGCGGCGGAGGCGGCGGCGATATCTTTTTGTAATATAGGAAGATAACCTCAAAATTTTTTTCTACAGCTTTACACGAGAAAAAAAGGAATTGCTTACGGATACCTACTAACTGATGTTTGCTTACGGATCTATCAAAATTAGTAATCACAGCTAAATTTTTTTGCTCTGACAACGAAAATGTTTGCTGTAATAAACAATATCAGTCTTAAATTTTTAAAATTTATTGTCACCATAAACTTTTTTACCCAACAGCGAATTTGTTCGCTGTCCTTACATTAGCTAAGGTAATTTAATGTGACTGCTATAATAGTTAGCTGCTACAGCAAAATTTTTTTATGCGTGTAGCTATATGAAATTTCTTCTGCAGAAAAGTTAGATTACGATAAAAAAAAATAGAAAAACTAAAAAAAAAATTTTATAACAATTTTGAAAGTTAAATATGTAAATTTTACTAAAATCTATATTTATTAAAAAGGTAAAATTTTTTTAAGTTAACCGTTTTTAGGTTAAGTAAGCAAACGCAATATTTCTAACCATCTATTTAAGTTATTTTAGGAGAAAAAGTTAAAAAAATTAACTTGAAAAAAGTACACGCATAGAAAAAATTTGCTGTGGCAGCGAATTATTTGCTGTCACATCAAATTACGTTAGCTAATATAGGGACAGCGAACAAATTTACTTTGGAGTCAAAAAAGTTTGCTGTGACAGTAAATTTTTTAAAAATTAAGACAGATATTGTTTATCATAGCAAATTTTTTTTTGTTGTCAGCAAAAAATTTAGCTGTGGTAACTAATTTTGATAGATCCGATAGCAAACATCAGTTAGCATCTGTAAGCAATGCCTTTTTTTCCGTGTATAAGTATTAATGAAAGTTACTCTTTTGTGGTTATGTTGTATACCCTGTGAAATCTTATAATTTACATATTTCTGTTTTTTTACATAAAGG